GTCAGCTTAAAAGTCACTTTAAAATGTCATTTCCAAGACTTCTATTCCTCTGCTCAACTGTTACAAACAGCAGCTGGGAAGCAGGGGAGAAGAGGAGGTGGGGCAAGTTGACTTCAAGTTGAAGTCATGGTTATATTTTATTATTTTATGCTAATGATGTCTGTTTTGTTATCTTTGTGTGTTATTTTGGGCTAATGTTGCGTTATATGTTCTTTTGTAAGCCGCCCAGGGTAGTGGCTCGTCACTAGATTAGTTGAATGCAAGTACAATAAATTTAAAAAATGATATTTGCAGGGTTTGAAAATTTTTTTGAATGTATCACCAGCCAGTCAAAAATTTCACCAGTCAGCATGACAGAACTATAGCCTTGCAATTTATTTTTAAACTTAAATTTAAAATAGGCACTTTCTACATAACAATGCGTACAACCCCCCCAAAAATATACCATCAGACTTAGGTTGCTTTATTACCTGCGTGCCTGTGGGATCATGAAGCTTGTATTTTGAATGCCTTTCTTTTGAATGTCTCCAGCAAAAATAAAACTGAAAGCAAAAGCTCCCAGCCTCTTAAGGAGTCAGGCTGTTTGGTTGAAAGAGAGAGAGGGACTGAGGGTAAGGAAGCAAGGAGGGAGGGACAGAGGGAGCTGTGGCTCGTCCAGCAGCATTTTTTCACTCGTCATGGACGAGTGGATTTTTCAAGCCCTGGATATTTGCACGATCAGAGTATTCAGCTGGAGTATGGGAGACAGTTCCTGGCATTCATATAAGGTATCACCAGGTGCTGTGATGATTTCAGCTTGTGGGTATCCTATATTGTCCCTAGAACTGCTGGAATGTAGAAGTGCCTAATGTATATTGATATATGGGACCGCATAGCTTTCTCAGAATTTTTGATACCAGAAAGCACATAGATTCCTTAGAATCAGACCTTGGAAAAATTACTTGGTTGTAAATTCCCAGACTTCCCCAACCAGATGGTCACTGGCTACATGACTATGTTTTCCAGTAGTCTAAACAACTAGCTTTTTCCAGCTTTTCTTAGAAAGGAATGACAAGAAATAACAGGTGGTTTAGTAGCCCCTTGGACAGTTGTTGCTAATCTTGCAACCATACCAGGACAAGACATGCCTGTGCAGTAACCAATCCTGGGCATGCTAAATATTTGTAGCTGGATGACAATAAAGTTTCATCTGTTTTTGTCCATGAAAGGTGATTCTTGTTCTCTGTCACTGAAAACCCTGGGGAAGCATCTTGACACATGGTCCACAAACTGGCGTGAAAGATAGAAACATATAAACTATGATTGGATGCTAATTTGTTTTTAAAGATTCTTTTGTTTATTCAGCAAGAAAGCAAATTTCTGTAGCACTCTAACTGGTCCTGTAAGGGTGGCAGCTATAAACTTGAACAGCAGCTACCTAAGACCTATTTTACAGCACTACAGTGGACCCTTGACTTACAGACGGCTTCACTTACAGACTTTTTGAGTTACAGACTTCTCTGGCCGCAAAATTTAGGTTTGACTCGCAGACTGAGATTTGACTTACAGACCAGAAAAAGCCAAAATGGAACAAAAACGGCCTGTTACGGGATTAATCGGTTTTCAATGCACTGTAGGTCAATGGAGACTTGACTTACAGACTTTTTGACTTGAGAACCGCCTTCCAATACGGATTAAGTTCTCAAGTCAAGCCCCCACTGTATAAATGTCAGCTTTTTTGTTACACTTGTGTAATGTGTCTGCCTCAAAAGAGATCAGATAGAAGCCCTGTGCAGACAACATTCCCTAGGCATGGTGATGGTGGTCATGATGACTGGCTCTCTCCCTCTTCTTACTGGGACCAAATTCTATGCACTGAACTGTACATACATAGGTTTCAGCTACTGGACCTGGGGTGGGAGGTCAGGATTATGCAGCAGGAATTTTTGTCCATATGCAGACACGTACACAAAGGGGACAGGACAGTGGGTATAATAAGTTTCAACTCTGCTACACACAGATGCCTTGTGCTCATATGCTGCAATGGCCCATACTGTACTTCATTCTTAAGCAGTCTCCCAGGGCTCAAGGAAGGCTTTCTTGGGTGCAAGACTTGTACTTTTTATAGGCCATCAGACTACTTTTTGGCCAAGGTCATCTGCTAGTATATAAAAATTAAAACAAAATATATTGTAGGCTCCTCCTTTGTTGCCTCAAGCTTTTGCTGAAATGCAGCCAATAAAACTAAGATTGGGTTCTTTGAGTTTGTCCAAGTCACATTTTTTTCATCTGTGTTCAAAGCCAAACCAAGATATTTTATCACACTTTCATGAAATGCTGAATCAATACCTAACCTATGTTCAGATCTTAGAAGTGGATGATCCATTAGCTAATGATGGCATTTGTCTATGGAGGGATCAGCGTGTCTTTCTGTCACTAAGTGACATTATCTGTTTTGGCTTCTGTTCACTTAACACTATTGTGCCATCCAAAAATCATTTTCAGCATTGCTTTTCTAGGATACCCACATTGTCTGTACTTCTCCAGGCATATTTAAAGAACTACTAGATTAAAAAAGGGGAAAGGAAAATACAACCATGTATCTCTCTTCTTTCTGATATAATCCAAGATGTATTTTCTGTCAAGTGTGACCTAAGTTAATTATGGTTGCAATCCATACATACTTACATTGGAGGAAGCTACACTGAGCATAGTTCTGAATAAAGATGTGCAGGGTTCTGGTGTATACCTAACATCTCTATTCTGTCTTATGCCATCACAAACTGCACTGTCTGGATTTCTATCTGGCTCTGTTCATTTGCTCTGTTCTCTTTTTGTTTTTGTGTCTGAGTGCTTATGTGTATACATCCGTTTAACATCTAGGTTGCTAAAGCACTTTAGCAAACCTTGCTCATTTCATCATAGCTTTTCAGTTGTTCCTATTAAAGGTAAGATCCTGATCTTGTTTTTGGATGATACAACATAACATTCATAATCTTATTTGTGGTCTCAGCATGAATGGTGGAGATCAAAAATTATTTAAACCCCACTGAATTAATACTAGAACAGGCTCATAGAGTCTGTACATCCAGTAAATTTAACTGGGACTAGCAGTAAGGTTCTCGCCACTGTCATTTTTAAGGCTAAGAAATTTTGTTCCATTTTAAACAATTTTAATGGTTTTTCACAGGACTTGTTTTGCTTATTTTTGGATAGCTTTATGTTAATCAACCTGCAAGTCAAGTGAGCTCCATAAACTCAGTTTCTGGAATTTTGTAAACTGTTACTCAGTAAGGATACTTGAGAGCAAGCAAGGGGGGGCACAGAAGGGTCAGGGGGTATTTTGGAGGTGGGTTTTGTTCTACATGTTGGATTTCTAAAAAAGAAGGTATATTTCATGCTAATGTTCCCATCCTGAGCAAATTTTCTCTAGATTTAGTCCAGCTGATTTGGATGAAATTAATTTTCAGGTACACATAATTTTATTTTCAGTTGATGATGGTTATAATTTATATCTAAAACGTTTTTAAAGTAATCACAGCAATAAAGCAAGTGAGGGAGATGAAATATCTGTATTGCCCTTTAGCACACCAATGAAATAATCACAAAGGGATTCTTATCACACATGCAAAATGAGTATTGTGGCATCCTTCAGACTCAGAGATTTATTTTATCATGAACATGACTTTTCATGGATTACAATCCATTTATCTTCCTTCTTCTCTCTTTTTGCTTAGGCTAAAAGGACAAATATAACTAACTTTAAAAAAATGCTGCAAGTGATCTCAATTGCCAATCCAAAGAAAAAACTCTCCAAACCGAAAGATTATTAAGAAAACAAACAAACAAAAAACCCAACAAATTTTATAAATGAGGAAAATCCATAACTGGAAAGAAGGTAAACTGGCCCCTATAAGGGGAGCTTTCCAAGCAAACAGCTGGATTGGGCCTTTCTAGAGTGAGATATTCTTGTCAAGATAAATCTCCAGAAGCTGAGATTTGGCAGTGGTGATTCTAAATAAACTTGACCTTGTGCTTTCAGACCAAAGGTGGCTTAACAACCAGCACCCCATCCAGACTAAACCTACAGTATTTTATTTAGTAGCAGGGCCACAAACAAGAAACACAAGGCTAGATTTTTGTTTCCAGTCCTAAACGTGTTCCCCTGGCAACTTAATGTCCAGGATGGGCTTATGAGTTCCAACTGTTCCTTGTTTCGGTTTGCTTGTTTTCACAGCCAACTTAAAAATGTTCTTTATTGCTGTACTTTTGATATAGTCCTCCCCCACCCCCTTGGACTGCAATTCTGTGCACCCTCTTGAAATGCAAGACCTCGCTGATAGAAGTGAAATTGATTTCTGAATATGAGGTAGGATCTCGCTGTGAGTTGAATAATTTGAAGGCTGAGGCTTAGAATACAAGCATTTTTTTTATACCAGCGAACGTGCCGAGGAGACGAGGGGGGGCGGTTGTTTACCTGCACACAAAAACTTTTTGGCAAAAGGAAAAGGAATACATTGTCGCGTTTTAGTAAATAGGTGTATTCCAGCGCGAGCTTTCGTGGAGCAAAATCCTCTTCCTCAGACACAGGAGCATTTTGGAAATTCATTTTTAAAAACTTGGCTTCCATTGCAAAGCCACCATCCTGGAATCCGGTTTTGTTAACCAGCTAGAGACAAACCTTTACGGCTACTGTAGTTCTGCGCTCTGAACCCGGACGGGCTTTCCCCCGCCTTGCGCTTCTAACTACCGGAGGGGACCCACTGACGAGGTTCGCGGGGCGATCGATGCCTCGTTACCGGAGCAGCTTCTCTCGCCCTGCCAAGAAACATCGCCGCCGACAGTGGCGGCGGAGCGAAACTTCCCACAATGCAACGGCCTCTGTTTTTCTCCTTGTGCACGCGCGCCGCCCTGGCCAGGAGTGCAAGCGGGGGGACTACATTTCCCAGGTGGCCAAGGGGCAGAGTCTCATGTGGGTCCCCCCTTCCCCGCTCCCATGATTTCTAAGCAGAGGTAAACAAACTGTGAAAGAGGCAGGGATCTCCTGTAGCTGCTGCAGGAGGCGGAGAAAGCGGCTAGATCCCAGGGAGAACGAGCAAGCCCTCTCGCTCGCCCGCCCGCCTGGCAGGCAGTTTGGACTATGGATGCAGGGGCAGTCCCGAAATGGAGAGGAAAGGTGTAGGGTCAAGGGAGAAGGGGGCGAGAGGGGGCAGGATGCAGGACTAGGGGGCGGGCAGGATTAAGAAGAGGCTGGAGGAAGGAGACGTGGTGGGACGTGGACGTGGAGGGAGAGAGGGTGCGGGGCAGGATCGGTGGTAACCGAAAGGGGTTTTTTTATTTATTTTTGGCCGAGGGAGGAGAACGAGCAACCAAAGATCAGAAGGGGAAGAGTCAGGACTAGGGATCGTGGGCGGCATCAAGGCTGTGAGGGGCAGGGAACTGACAGCCAGGCTGGCTAGGTAGGACGTGGCTAAGATTCAGGGGCTCCTGCTGCAGGAGTTAGGTGGTTCCACCTCCGCACACCCATCTTTTTCTGTCTCACTAATGAACTTCCTGGAAGCAACAAAAGAAACACACCAAAGTGTCTTGCTTGCTATCCTTGGGGTTACGAGCCCCATCGCAGAAAGGCCAGTCGTCGGGAAAGAAGCAGGACAGGCGTAGGAAGGAGAGAGGCAATAATAATAAAATTTGTTTTAAAAAAATCCTATCCTCCCAAGTGTTAGGAACCGGTCTGCTAATAGGGCAGTAGGAAGCCTCCTCCTCCATCTCAAGGGCTATGGAGCGGGTGGAGATGATCAACATCCAGCGCCTTCTGGAGGCAGCTGAGTACCTGGAGCGCAGAGAGAGAGGTAATTGGATTCGGGAGAGCTGGTGAGAATTTCCATGGAAATAAGGGGGTGGATTGTTCTTTATGAAAGAAATGGGATGATTGGGGAAAAGTAGGAGAGACGAAGGAAAGTGGGGGCAAGAAGGTTTGCATGCCATAGGTCATTCACACCCTAACCTTTGGTGCCCTTCAGATGTATTGGGCTACAACTATTGCCATGTTGGCTGGGATGATGGGAGCTGTAGTCTACTTGTGAAGAACACCAGCCTGAGGGAGGATGCTGTAGATCAGGGTGGGCAATGTGTGCACTTCCAAATGTTGATAGGATGAATATCTATTGTAATTCACCATTGGCCATGCTGGCTGGAGGAGATGGGAGGTGTAATCCAGCAGCATCTTAGGGGACTGTGAGTTGTCCACCACTCTTGTAAAAAAGTGATATTAAAAATCCCCATTGTATGACAGAGTCTTCATTCCAGTATTCTGGGTTCTGATCTGTGAGTTATTTGTCCCGAATTACAAGTGTTGCCTCAAGCCCTCAACTCCAGTGCATGTGTTCAGGGAGGCACTTTCTGTATGATAGCTGGCTTGTGTGTGCATATAGTCACTATATTCCTCTTGTGTTCTTGCTGCTTTTCTCTGCTTCATGAAGGTTATTTTCGTATTCCCTAAACCTTGGAAGTTCCAGTTGGCTTCTGTCTTACTGATCCTTCTTTTCCTCTTTGCTGATGATTTATACAGAGTGTGAACATGGTTATGCCTCGACCTTCCCTTCCATGCCGAATCTTGGACTGCAGGACCCAAAGCCACCGCAGAGGCTGAGCCGAGCAAGGAAACATAGCAGTGGAGGCAGCAGCACAGGCACTGCTAACAGGTATGTCCTGGAAAATATCCACAGCTTGTTAGGCTGTAAAGGAAAGAATAGGGCAAGTTCTTCATACATCTCTCCAGGAGTTTTACTTGGAACATCTGGCGAAAGTTCAGTTCCACTTCCTTTGCAATCTCACTTCCTCTCAGTCCCTGATAATTTATAGAGTTGTGTCTTTTAATATAAGACTTTCTCAATATGTATTTGGGAGTACTGGCTCTTTAAATCTAGCAGAGCCACTTGCTATCTATGTAATGCTTTGCCTTCTGCAGGCAGCATGTGCCATGCTCTTTTTTATGTAATCTTCATTCTTCATCCTGATGGAACGGTTTTTTAAAATAAGGATACTGACATTGATTTTGAACCTGATTCTGTGCATGTTTCTCTGAATTTGGCCTCATTGTGTTCAGTGGAGCTTATTTCCTAGTCAGTATGTTAAGGTTATAGCCTAAATATTTTAAGTTGGAGAATGTGTGTAGACTTCAGGGTGCAAGAGCTAGCCACACCTATTTGAACATGCTCAGATAAATGAATATGTTCTTCTTGAGGTAGTGGTATAATTTGTTATTACTCTGACTATGATTCTGATGTTTCTTAATGCTCCAGACTTACTGCTAGTGGTGCAACACTGCTTTCTTTCTATGGATCATTGAATCCAGCCCCTGTCAAGGGTGTGCAGTGGGGAATCAAACTCCCAACCTCTGGCTCCACAGCCAGATATCTAAACCACTGAGCTAAGATAGAGTAGACCAATTAGATGAAGGGACTTGTTAATATTTATGTAAGTCCCATTTATTCAATGAGTCTGCTTTAGATTGGAGTAATAATTGGATTTAGCTAATACAGGACTTTTAGATTTATTTATTTTTTTTACAGCTGTCAGAATTTGACAGGAATTTCCCCAGCAAGAATTCTGGTAGCTGTAGCCAAGCAATTGAAGACCACAGAAGTTTGAGTACATGCACCTGTGCCTCTGCAAGTCTCTCTCTTAACCTAAAAAAAAAGAAAGCGGGTGGAAGTAGTTGGACTACATGGGAGCTGCAGGGGATTAGGGGACTGGTAATCTCTCTGCTCATTAGGCTCTGTAAAGGATACCTTTCAAAGAACTACAATTTCCTCCTCCTTCAGGCTAGTAGCAGCTCCAGAGACAGACTTACTGAGGCATAGGTGTGTGCACTGAAATTCTTCTGTGAGCTTGACTACAGCCAACACAATGCTGTCTGAAGAGATTCCTTGTAAATTCTGAGAGCTGCAGTGGAAAACATATGACAGTCTCATGCCTATTATTGTGCAGTTTTGTCAAGTGTTTTATTCATATAGAAAGCTACACTTATAATTTGATTTTTAGCAATGGCATTTTCCAAATACAGTAGGATCCCTGTATCCTAAGGATTGATATGCACAATTTCACTTATCCATGGTTTCTGCAGCCATATATACAACATACAAGGGTGTCCCCTTGTATGTTGTATACAAGGTTCCCTCATATCCACTGTTTCAAGCATCCATGGTAGATCCTGAAGTGATCCACCATGGCTACAGAGATCCTGCTGTACATAATTCTTCTAGTGCTATGTATTACAAATACTTGAACAATCTCAACCAAAGCTATTCAAAAAAGCAGGACAATAATTTACTTCTTCAAAAATGCACACTCAGCATCCTATTGACATCTCACTGCTGCCAGCTTATAATACAGATTGTGCTGCTTGTGTATACATTGCCATTGCACAACCAGAGGGTGAGTTTTCTTCTTGGAACCACTGCTTGTGCAACAGTAGTGCTTGTGCAATCCCTCAATAATCTTCTGGCAAAACTTTTCACTTCATAGAAATATTGGTTAATGGACAAAATCCTATTCAAGTCTTCAAAAAGACCTCCAGTTTATGAATGTGGGATATTGTACTTCTGTATCTATGATTCGAAAAGCCAGGACATGGCCCAATATTTCTGCACAACAGTATGCTTAGATTGCCAGCAGATAAAAGGATGCTGATCTTTGCATAGCAAAGCACAGCCTGAATGTTGACAATACAAATGACAGCACTCAAAATGGTCTGCAGGATACTCTTGTGTGAGCCTGGACAGTTGCTTTGTGTTTGTGTGAGGAATGGTTAACTGATGAAAAAAGGAGTTAACTTCTGGGCTATTTTCTTGCTTGGTGTCACTTTATGAATAGTAGTGAGCACAGGAGGGTTTCTTGTAGACCATCTTGACTGTTGCCATTGGTGTTGTCAACATTCAAGCTGCCCTTTGCTGTGTAAAGCTTGGCGTCCTTTTTCCTCCTGGCACTGTAGATTTTTTTGGATTTAATGAAATGGTGAAGCAAAGATGTGAGTAAGTGCAACATATTATACACCCTTTAAACTCTCAGGTAAATTAATGGTGCTATGCCTGCTGCAAGAAAATGAAGAAAGAAAAGGACAGATATTAACTCATTTGAAATGTGGTGTTGGAGGAGCGACTCAGTCCAGTCAAGCCTGAACTCTTATTAAAGGAGAAATTAATAAACCAAGGCTATTCTACCATGCATGTATAGTAAGAATATAGAACTGACCAGAAAAGACAATATTTGTTGGGAAAAGTTTGTTGGGGGATCAGTAGGGAAAGATAAAACATTAACATAAGACAGATTGTCTCAATATAGGAAGCCACAGCTCTTAGTTTGCAAGACCTGAGCAGAACTTACTGAAAAAGACAATGTTACTAAGAATTTGGGGGGGGGGGGGGGGGGTAACAAG